CAAACACTCCTGATTCATCTGTTAATTGTCAGGTTTAGTGGGTGTGTTTTAGGAGTGGGACTGGAGTTGTGCACACTGGTCTACAGTAATTTTGGCCCAACAATAATTCACTTAGCAATGGCGCTGACTGTAATAGTCTAACTGACTATAAAATAACTAAGTAGTTGATTCACAACCAATTATTTATTATTTTATTATGGAAAAAAGTTGCCCCACACAAAAAAACACTACTAAAAATATTTTACAATCAGTGGCAAAATGTGACTAATAGAGCTAGGCCTTCAGTGTGGACCATAAATGTTAAACCTCGGTCAAAAAAACAAGAGAAAACCCACCTCTATGATAATGTTAATTTCTGCTAGTTTCTGCTGAAGGGATTTCTAACATTTCTTCTCTCTGTTAGTGCTAAGCTAACACTAGTACACATACATATTAAACACAGATATTTAAAGTTTGTAAAATGTGTTTCAAGGTTATAATAGAACACAGAACGGCCTATTTCTTATAGTTGACTGAAACCTGATTAGACTACAGCTTGTATTCACAATGAGTCATTTATCTAGAACTTCCAGAAAACTGAGAGTGATGAATCTAGTCCCACTCATTGTAAATCAAAACATGATTGGTTGATTCCACTGTCATTTTCTAATCATGTTGGTAGGTAATCTGACGTGTTAGGCCTTCATTTCAGCTCCTAAAGTCCTAACCAATGGGAGAGCTCACTTGGCGGTATCTACCTAGATACTACAGGGAAAAAATCCTGATTGGGCAATTTTCCCTTGGGTATGTCAACATTTTAACCCTGTTGTTTCTTTCTAAGAGACTTATTACAAATAAATACAATAACCATGATGGTTCTATTGAATAAAACTAAAATCCACTGAGACTAAAAATAACGAACATATTGTCGCTGTCCAAAGAAAAACATGTTTCTCCATTTTTGTCGATTTTTGGTTTTCTGCATCATTTGAGCACGGTGGCTGTCCTTTACATCGTATGAAAATTTCATGATGAATGGACCAATAGCAATGCTCTAAAATTACTTGGAATAAAATGTCTTTACACTAACTTACATTAAAAGTAAAGAATGTCTTTGGAGATAATTGCTTTTCTTTGGAGAGTGACGATATATTCTTTAGGTTCCCAGAAACAATTAGGGAGATCCCAGTTGATTTCAATATATTTACATTCTGGAATATACTGTTAACATATTATAATATACTGTTCATTTTCTTAGGGGTCTTTAATCATTCCATGATTGTGTGATGCAGCACTGAAAAACAAAGTAAAACTAAAGCATACAGGAACATCACACTGGTGTCATTCCAGACTTGTCAGAAAAATTGCATCAGCAGCTTGTTGCAAAAGAGAGTCAAGACAGGTCAACTTCAGCCTTTACATTTGCAATTTATTAGACAGTTGGTGCAAAATGATGATCAAAGAAGTCAAACGGCTATAATTACGAAAAGCTACTCCAGGATAATCCATTTACGCAGGGCAACCTCACAAAGGCTTAGAAAACTGAAAGAAGCACTGCGCTTTCAAACGGATATGCTGTAGGCCTGAGGTGTGGGGCTTTTCTGAGTGATGTTATGCTGCATCATTACGCTATTTAACAAGCTCCATCTTTGTGGAAGCTGACTGATGATGTGTAATCCTCGCTTCTTGGAGCGTACATTCCCCCATCCCCCGCTGTTACTTGTGAAATTACCAGCTGTATTTTACACATTCCAATGGCCCAGGGGTCATTGTGGTTACACAATCCTGACAGTAATCCAGAGTTTAAACCGTGCAGTGGGAGGGGACTCATCAGAGTGCTGGGATGAGGAGTGAACAAGCCTTGATTACAGTTTGTCTGGCTGTAATGAAGCCTTGAAATCTGGCGACCCATTCCCGCCTACAGCACTGACCTTCGCTGTTACAGTTTTAAAGTGACCAAACTTTCCACACTGTGTAAACTCAAAAGTTTCAAACTTTTCAAACCACTTACTCCCAAATCCATAGTCTATCAATGGAAACAGCCCATTTTGAATTCATTATGGTTGTGATGTCACAACCATGAACAGATTTACACATGACAGCCCATTCAGCCTAGAGCAGTTTAACATGTCTATTCCTCTTGAAGTGATTCAGAGTGTTGTTCCTGCAGATCTGAAGAAAATTACTGGAGTGGGAAGATTAAATGTTGAAGAAAATATGCTATAGCAACCTTCCAAAGGATCTGTATTTCTGACTGAAGCTCACTCCGTCCAACAAACATCAGGATTTCAGTCAGAAATTACAGAGACACTCCAGCAGAAATAAAAAAAATACCCTTAAAAATGTTAAACCGATTAAATAAATTACATCTACTGCAATTATGCTACTCACCCCCTACAGTGGTGCCACTGTGGTCTCCAGGGTGAATTTTCGGTGTCACTTAAGACTGCCATTATAAAAGGTTTAGGAATGGTTTAGAATTGGTTTATTAATGGTTATCACTTAGGCCATAAAACCTTAAAACATCATTAATTATCAGTTACAATACAGTAATAAAAAGGACAGCAGTGACCTGAGTGATGACTAAAGTCAGAGTTACACTAATGCTAGCTTGGTTATTTTACTAGCCCAGGGGTCAGCAACATGCAGCTCTGTTACTGCTCTGTTGCAGCTCACAGCAGAGTTCGATTTTTAGGTAAAAATAAAATAATCCTCCTTTGCAGTAAAATGAAGCTCTGTTGATCATTCTAACAGTGTTAACAATAAATTGTCTTAAACACTGGATTTAATGTAGCCTATATCTGCTAATTCACCCTGTAATCCTGAAGATTGGCCCGTAGACTGACGGTCACCATAGCAATGTAGATAACAGTCTCTCCAAGCTAGTAGCTAACGAAGAGACGAATGGATTTATTTGCTGGTTCCCTAATATGTTTAATTTGCAACAAGAAACTGTCAAACACTAAAAAGTAACAAAGTTGAAGTCAGATTCTCATTCGAATTTTCAAACAAGGTGAATGAGAAGCTGACTCGCAAAAAATCGAACGTTGAGAGACATTTTACAAGAAACTATTTTACTTCTGGAATAGTTTCCTGCTGGAGACGCGAGAAAAGCGGCTATAACTGAGCTAAAGCTTAAGGAAGAGCAAATTAAGTCTGTGTTTTCATTTATATTATATTTTTTAGCCTATACTAGTACATTAGCACACACTGAGACATACTTACAGCCAAGATGGTAAAATGGACATAAAATGTTGCAGCTCCTGAGGTAGTTTCATTTTTGCTGAAAGGACAAAACATTTGGGTTGCTGACCCCTGTACTAGCCTATAGCTCAGTGGCTGGGCTAGCAGTCAGGACTGGTCGACACCACATGGATTCCCAAGGTTTGTATGATGTATTTGCATAATGCATGCTGGGTATTGCAGTAAGAGAACACTTATGAATGAAAGCATGAAAATGGCGCAAAATCATGAATTCTATCAAACCGATTAGGCTGAGGGATACAATGCTGCGCCACAGAATACTGACAAACAACTTAGCTCTAGGCTGACATGCCCCTGTAGGAGTTTGTTCTGTACAATTCAGCCCAGACATCGGATGAAGCACAATACAAGACAAACAGGATGGAGGTCATTTACATATATCAAGACAGTGACTTAAACAGCCTGTTTAAAGGTTAAATATAGGTTGTAAAATGTTCATGTAAATTTAAAAAGATTCTTCTTGCTTCAAAAACATTAAAGTGGACCTTTGTGGGGAAAAATGAGACACAAGACAAATGTAGAATAAGGGCCCTTAGACACAAGCAGACACAAGATGGGCAGCCGGTCTGAGCATATGCACCAGCATTAAGTAGCTAATTGACCGTTGAGTAATATATAATGATTACATGTGAGCAATACAAACATCTCATCTATCGAGGTGCTTGGGGTCAAAAAGCAGATGGCAACACGTACATTCTGAGACTAATTCCCAGCCAAAACATTCCACTGCTTTATTCTGTACATAAAGTATCACAGCAGATGGTATATGATTGCATCAGCAGCCTGAAAGCTCTGAAAGCTGTAAGGACCAAACATACACTACAGGCTAAAAGTTTTGAATGATTTAAATGATTAATTGCGACTGCATTACTTTGTATAGTTAAATGCGTTTAATCGTGTTTGTCTTATTTGCTCAAAAATGAACCTAAAGAAAGATGGTTTCCATTTAAAAGGTGGCGCATTTTGTCATCGCTATATGAGTGGACAAAATATGCTTCATCAGAACATATTCATTACTTTCAGTAATTCATACTGCTGTGTTATATCTTCTTTTCGAGGGGAACTGAAGCGTTTCCTTTTTGCCTTTACACTTACCTGTAATTCTCCTGTGAGCACTGTCCAGCAGAATCAGTGGTTTGTTCTGCTTGTAAATCTTCAAGACTTCAGACTTGATGATGATAAACAAATTCATGGCAAGGCAGCAGCTGGAAATAACATTATTGAGTGAACCATGGATGGAACTTGCCATTTAAAAGCTGTATTTGAATGAGAGGACTACACTCACGGATTCAATCAAAGTAACATGCAGTGCTCTAGTAGCTGGGCTTCAGTCTGGAACCATGGACAGTTTGAAGGGCCAAACTAGGAAAATGCATTACCAGCATTAACAAAAATGACATTCATCATTAACTTTGAGTAGATAGCAACACTAATTATGTAATAAACATTAAATAAAGGGTTTAACTCAATCCGTGCAGTAATAATATATTCAGTAACTGATCGCTAAATCCTGACTCTCCTTCAGAGGGCAGCTCTAGTGAGATCTACCTGATTCCTCCATTCAGAAGATCCTGAAACTTCATTGTCTCAGTCAGGTGTCACATTAGGAGTTTAGAAAGAGTTAAAACTGTTAAAACTGGAGGAAATAAAAATGGCAGAGAATTAACTACAGAAATGCTGAGCAAAATGTTAGAGATATTTGATTAAAAAGCTTGAATAGCTTGAATTTCTTTAATTAGGAAGAAAAACACAATACATCAGCGGTCAACAATTTTATTTATTGTGCAAAGAAGGCACCGTCCACAGTACTGGAGAGACATCTGGCCTTGATAAATCAAAATGGCATTTTCAAATTATTTCATGCCTAAATTACAGTAAACAATAATTCAGCAGCAAGTAGATTTGATTAAACAGTGCTAGTCACAAAAAACAGCTTAAAAGATGTAAAACCGTAGATTGTACAACCATAACAATGTATTCCTTTCATATAAACTGATCTGGGGCCTGTCTCTCAATGCTTAGCCAGCTCACTTTAAACCTAGTTTGATTTAACCTCTGACTTTCTGACTCAGGACAGTGGATCACTTTTTTACCAGACTACATCGCCATGCAGGTAAAAGCAGGTTAGATGAGGGTTATGCAGCACCACAATGGTAGCACCACTGTAAGCCCTTATGTTTTTTCCCAATTAACATAAAGCAATAGCAATAACCAGCACATCTTCTGAATATCTGTAGCTTCAAATTTAAAGTACATTCAAAGGTACACTAACTCACTGCTAAAAGCCTGAAAGCTAAAAGCAAGGTACGGCCGCATAGCTGAGCGGTTGCTAGGCAGTGACTGTGGGAGAAAACAAAGAGTGTGTTTATTATGTTATTTTTCAGTCTGGAACCATAATAAAATATTATGATGTTATTTTTTTCGCTGTGCAGCTAGTAAAGTTCTTCTTGTCATAACTGCTCAAAGGGACCCTTCAGGTACATAAAAACCATGAACGTATAAATGCTCCATTATATAGAAACTTAGCAACTCAGTGGTGGTGATAGGAACCAGGTCCACCATGTCTACCTGGTTCCTGAAAAATAAGCCGATCGACTGTTCTCCTTTTTTAAGCAACTGGCGGTTTGTCATAAACATCACATTTTTATGTGCATATTATTAATCACAGCCTGAGTGTCTAAACCTGGATTAACAGAGTTGTTATTTATAGAGTTGTGCTTGTTAACCAAGGCTGTAGAAGCTAAAACCTTAAGAACACTAAGTGCTTAATGAGACAGACCCCTGATCATCTGATAAATCATCATAATCAATCACAATAAAAAAGGTAAATGTACTGCTACTAAAGGCTGTATCAAAAGTCTTTCTACTACAGAAAAGCAGGTGTGTGTGTGCTCTAAGCAACAACATACTCTAGTAAATTGATTTTAGTAATCAGTTGGGTGTGTAGTTTTTGGTATAGCGTCGACAGTAACACTGTTGCCCTCCATGCAGCAGACTCATTTGGATGCGATTCCCTACATGGATAAGACCACACTACACCAATAATTACACTACATTCCCCTACACTCCTGTGCAAAATAGAAGAAATGGGCCAAACACAAAATATAATGGTTTTTAATGTTAGTTTTGGCCTGGTCAGAGTCCAGATTTAAACCCTATAGAGAACATTTGGTCTCAGATTAAACACTTGGCAATGGAAGCCATCAATGCTGTGGAACAATATTGCATCTTATTTCTGTAAAAGCCTGTATGTAAGTTTACCCACAAACTTCAAAATTTAAAGAAATTAAAGTAAAAGGCTATTTAATTTTAAGTTACTTCATTTATTTGTTTGATTCTAGAGAATATATTGACTATTTATTTAACGTTAGGACCGTTAAAAGGTTACTGTTCTGCCTTTTTGGCTTGGCCCATTTTTTTTTTCCCTAGAGAGTACATCTGTAGCATAAACTGTAAGTCCCTCTAGATAAGAGTGTTTGTCAAATGCATATATGTAAATGTAAACTGTTGGGATTAGAAACAAAATGTGCAGTGTTTTAATAATTTAACACAATCAAAAAGTTTTGTTTTCATTTAAAAAAGACATCCACATCCTAGCTGATTGACTCCCTTTAAGAAGAAGCTATAATTCATTGCCTTTGTGATCAGGTACAAAATCCATTACATATGCATACAAACATAAAATAAAAAGAGTATGTCTTTCAGTTTTTGGCTCTGAAGTGGTGTCCGCCTGTGCTTCCTTTCTTGATACACTGGGAATATGACTCGTGATCCAAAAAGTGCACAGAACAGACCTGCACCATCTTGCAGTCATCTTCACAGGTGATAGTTTCATTGTAACTTACCATGAAGTAAGTGAAATACTTCTGAAAGGCTTTGCTTTGCGGCATCTCGAACGTCAGGGCAAGTTCATGCAGGCTTTGTGGCTGAATGTCTTTGATACCAAAGGCTTCAGTCATGATGTATTCAAGACTCCAGTTGGGCATTTCTTTCTTGTTTGCTTCAGTGAGATTCAAGTAGTACTGCCAAAGATCCTTTAGAGGAGAAGAAGAGAAACTGTTGTGCAAAAGAGTGAAAGACAAGAGGAGCCCTTTTCTGTCGAAGAGCCCTGATTAAAATGGACCATGTAATTAAAACTGACACTTCCATTAATCATTCTACAACAAGCCACAGTTGAAGGGAGCCAATCAGCTCGCTCATTCACACTCTAAAACTGAAGGAAGCATTGTTTTTATACATTCAGCTTTTTTGTTTGCATGTTTGTTTTTTGTTCGGGTAGAGTAGCCTAAACCCATCCTCAAGTAAAATCATTGTTAGTTCAGTTAAATAATGACTGAATAACAAATAAAATGGTGCGGTCATATTAAAAACGTGTATTTTTTTTAATTGTGCTGGACCACCGAGCAGGCCAGCATATGAGAGTTGAGGTCTTCCTCAGTCACTCACTGACTGATGTCCATTGTTGAAATACAAATACACAAGCATCATCCGAGACAAGCAGCAGACAAGGCACTACACTCTATTAAACATCGCCCTCGTACACTGAAACATATCATGGGTCTTTTTTAGCCATTTTTTAACTGTTCCAGGTGAAGATTCAGTCATCAAGCACTAGTACAAGATCAAAAGGTGCACCAGAATGTAAACTGGGTTTACAATTTGATGTATGGATTGGTATTTTTTAGAATTGTCACTGTAAAGTTACATGTAGTCGCCAATGTAACATTAGCTGGCTGGGCACTATAATGTTAGGATAATTAGCATACATGCTACCAGTTAGACAATGAATTGTTTTTGCTCTTATTTTTACACTCTCGAGAGAAAATGTATATTTTGCTTGTCTTTATATCATTCAGAGAAACTCTAGCTAAATCTCTCCTCATGAATTCATATATTTGGTCTAATACAAAATGCTAAAGCTTAAAAATGAGGAGTCTGACAGACTGCAAAGCAGTCCAACTGCTGAACCAACAGAACAGAATAAAATTAAACCCAAAAAAGGAATCAGGAGCTCAAAATCATTTGAAAGCACTCAAATTTTCTTTACAAATATGTGTGAGTAAATGTATTATCATTTGAAAGCACTCAAACAAATACACGTGATTCTGTAGACAGATCTAGCTCCATTTCACTGTTAGATCTTCAAAAAGCTTGTTGCTTTCAGAAAGTATCTCACATTCTCACATAAAAAAGTGAGTGCAAATTTTAACACAGATTTCCTTATTCAAATAAAAATTCAAACAAGCTCTTTCCTCTGGCGGAACAATGATGTGTATGCTGATGAGTAGTTACTTACCTGTAAGCTATAGTCTTGAGGGTCGTACAGGTACATGCGGACGGCAGGGTTATTTGAATACTGCTCCAGAAGACTTTTGATTGGGGTCACAGCCGGAGCAACAAAGATGGAGTTAACAGGCTTTCCTTTAAAAGAATAGACATATGACCCCCTATTCAGAAACATTAAGTCTAAGAGTGCACATTTAAACAAGAAGAGAACAGGCTCTGAGAACAGGCTGATGGTGGTTGCTTATGTGTCACTGCAACTGCAAATTTAACCATATCTCCAACCAAGAACATAAACTTTAAAAAGCCCTTACCTAGAGATGGGCAATATGGAAAACACTTAATATAGGTTTTGTTCTACAAAAAAGAACCAACAATGGTAGATTAAAGAAAACTATCAAAGACTATGAATACAATTAACTGTATATGTTTCAGACACAGCACTGAATTCAGTAAAACAGGGCTAAGTATGATCTCTTCGTAATGAAACATGCAATTGTTCAGCGTTCTTTAAGATCTGATGATTTCCATGATTTGCTAACATAACGATAAATGTTGTCATATTGCCCACCCCGTCCACATAAAACATATACGTTTTGCTCCTTACCAAGTATCGTAAACAAAGTATTGCAAACACAGATAATCCATACATCCGAACTTAGAAAAAAACAGATTTAGCAAGAAAATGTACACAGTTTTCCCCTTACCCCTTATCAGCCAAGTTTCCAAAGCTTACTGTTATGGCATATTGTTATCTATAAAAATGGATAAATGTACAGACAAATTCAGCCTTCAAGATGGCTACTACTACTGCGTTGAACTATGCAATGTATTTTGTTCATTTTTACAGAAAACAGTGTTTCATACAGTGTCAGAAACCACATAAGCATGTCTAGAGATTATCTAACAAACTGGTGCAGTTTAAGACAAGTGTGTGATCTTTTAGGAAAGCTGTTTGTAGAATGCTAACCTAGAAGCTTCTATTAATTATATTAATTATCACTTTGAGCCTTGTAGCTCCAGAGCAAAACTTACACCAGTGGCAAAAGTGAAGGGCAACAATGTTTGTCTATTGAATAGAACGCAGGGTGGCACAGTGGCATGAGTAATACTGTCGCCTCACAACAAGAAGGGCCTGGGTTCAAATCCCTGGTTGGGCAACCAGGGTCCTTTCTGAGTGGAGTTTGCATGTTCTGCCTGTGTCTGTGTGGGTTTCCTCCCTCAGTCCAAAGGCATTCAGTCAAGCAAATTGGAGATGTTAATGAACGCTGGGATAAGCTCTAGGCTCCAGCACCCCCACAAGCCATGAGGATAAGTGGCTTAGAAAATGTGTGTGTGCGTGGTTAGAACAAATCAGCCCAGAGGGCAAAAGGTAATCACTCTGTGCTATTCTCCACAGGGGTCATTCCAGGACAGTTAAATGAATGGTCTTTTTTGTTATCGCTTGGAAATGTCTGCGACTGTACCTTGGCGATCCAGCAGAACCAGTATGCTGTCTCTGTGGGTGTGCCCATAGAACTGGCCCTGAATGATGTCGCTGTAGCTGCGGAATATGTCCACTAGTTTTTCGTTGTGGTGCTCCCTCATGGCCGTGGTGTTTTTAGCATAGGGCAGGTAACCAATTGGGACGTGAGCGATCACATAAACCTCAGAGAAGAACAATAGTTTATTGCTTTAACAGACCTCCATATTTCCCAAAATCTTATTTAAAACAAAAAATTTAGACATCCTGAAAATACAAACATGCTTGCAGGTCCTCTCCATCAGCTCAGCAGCCCCCATCTCAGCCTGATAAAGTGTACACTTACTTTCTCCATGCTCTGTTTGGACAGCTCCAGCGTATCCTGCAGCCACTTGAACTGACCAGCTGGGTCGGTGATGTTCTCAGTCACCTTGTTGGGGAGTGTAATAAAGGTTTGTGTTCAGGCTCACCAGCCGAAGACCGGGCTTTATCAGCTGAGAGTAAAAGCCTCCTTCATAAAAAAAAAAAAGTGACAGATAAAGACCATCAGCAAAATGTACAGCAATTCAGAAGCAGTGCAGCCTAATTTAGCATATAACTATTTAGCCTTATTATTACAAACCAACAAACCATAAAAAAAACGAATGTAACGAGCAAATGAATGCATTAGTCTGTTCATTCAAAATGTATGTAGCGCAAAGAGCTGGAACAACACTGAAAATATCCTTCAGCGCATACCTTCTTGCAGTGTAGCGAGGGCTTCTGGGCTTAGCCATGGAGTCCAAAGTTTGGCTACAGCCTGATAAATTGCACTTGTCTTCACTGGAAGCTGATCCTGAAAGAGAAATAAAAGAGAAAAAGTGCAATTTAGAAAAAATGACTACACACTGATTATGGAAATTCTGGAAAAAAACTTACACAGAAGACTTTACATACAGATATATGAATGCTTCTTATAAAATGAATGTGTTTGAGCATGGTCATTTTAGACGATCATCTTAAATGGAAACAAAAAACAAAACAACATTGCTACATCTGTTGTAAAGATGCCTACTTATCTCTTATAGTGGTGCCACAATAGACTCTAGGGTGATATTTTCCAGTTTAAAGGCTCCCTTCTGATGATGTACATAAACTACAACTACTTGGGGGTGGATATTTGAGGGCAAGCTATTAGAAATGTTTTCTCCCACTAGCTGGCAAATGCAGAGAGAAGGAAGAGGGAACATTTCTGCTAGGAAGGTGAATATTGCTTTATTTATTAGCCTCTATCAGTGGCTACTCAAGTAGTCAGGATCTCTGTATTGCCATGGGAGGATTCCTAATGGTTGAGTGGCGTATAACATATTAAATGGGGAGATCACGAAAAATATGCCAAAACAGCAAAGACCTCACATTTCAGGACTTCTCGAATGGAATATGTATTGACAAATAATGCTCTGGCAAAGAAAATGCAGGTTTGTTTACTTGTCCTCCTTTAAATGGAGTGCTGCCATTGAAACTATCTAATTTTAAAGCCTAGTAGTTTTAAAAGAAAAAGGATCCAACACTGGAAGAATCCTTTTCAAAAAGGTACTTTTTGAAAAAATTCTCCATCAATGTCAAGAAGCTTTTCCTCAATGCAAAGGACCCTTTAATCACACAAATGGTTCTGTAAGTGTTCATGGTTTTGTACAGAACCATTTTCTCTACTATAGAACCCTTAAAGAAACATCTTTTTTAAGTGTGTAGCCATGTGTAATAGCAGGTTTGGCCTGCCGGCAAGTCCTTTCCATTTAATTCCGACCTACAACTAGCATTTAATATGTTGTTGCGTTATGTAATTGCATTCTTTTCATGTTTTCGTCCATCAGTGTTCTCTTACTACAACACTCAGCATGCATTTTGCAGATAAATCAGACAACCATAGAGAACCGCCTCCTCCCACCACCACAATAAAAAAATGCACCACTGATATAGCGTATAATAAATATAAATGTGATATTTGGCTTCCTAGCAGTATTGTTAGCCAGTGTAACTTCTGTATGAGCCAGCTAGTTTAATTAAGAATAAATAAATATATAAACAAAAAGCCCATCCTTATGTACCCTTTCCCGAAGTGCTTGGAATTTGTTTAAAAAGTTCTCCCACCTTCAAAATACAGCATAAGAAAAGGGTTTTTAAGCCTTTAAACTGGTAAGACTCACTCTAGAGACTACTGCAGCATTGCTGTAGGAGGCGAGCATGTTCACAACAGTTGTAGTGATGATTACATTTTAAATTTTGGCCATTTAACTTTCAGGGATTAATGTGACCTTTCTTTTACATACTGTCATTACTCCATAGCCCAAAATCCTCAGATGTTGCAGGAACAGGTCAGACTATGGCTAACAAAGTAGAAAATACAGACTAAATACAGGGTACAGTAGAAAAAGGGTGAAATACCTGTGGCCAGTAGTCGTGGTTGCCTAGTGCAGGGTATACCGGCAGCTCAGGGAAGAACTGACGTAAGGTGTGAGTCATGTTGCTTATTACACTGATCACAGCTTCTGTGGACAGCTCATCTGCTGGAACATGAGGAGGGCTGTCTCTGCAGGAAAGAGCACACACTTCACACAACTATTAACAACCGACATGCATACAGAGGGCCATTCAATCAGTAATTACGCTAAAAGTGCTAATCCTGCATCAAGGTGCAGTAAGAGGACTCCCCATGTAAAATACTTTAATTATGCCCATTGAGCAAAATGAATGCCAGTTTTGGGCTTATCCGATTAACCAGAGCTTAAAGGCCAACAGCAACATACCACAACTCCACTGGCACTACAGAAAAAATACAGCTTAGCATTACAGCATCTGAAAAATGTGTAGTGTATTCCTTTGTAGTGGAAAAAGTCTTTCTCAGTTCATTCCTCTAAAAGTTTAACAGTCACATTATTGCCACATACAATCAACCATGCTTCACCCAACAATGCAGTCTTTTCATAGCAACAGCTGCAAGTTGTACATGTTTGCAAAACGCTGGCAAACAACTCATTCAACCTAATGAGAAATTGTAGCACACAACTCAATATACCTCAATATACATTTAATGTCAAATTATATTTGCTTTATATGTGTGTGAGAGGTGACACTGTTAAGATAGATAGGCTGTCATTAATTGAGGTAACATTAGCATGGTGGCAACTTTATCGTTCAACTTGCCAACTTCATAGTTTCGATTAGCTACAACAAGAAAGGCTAGCTTGATAGCACAGTATTTTACACTTGAAACTCAATGTTATACAGCAGCTCTAACAAAGTGTGCTACAATTTCTCATTTGACTGAACGGTATTTCTGCCAATGTTCTCAAAATCTTGTCCAACTTAGAAACTAGCTGGATATCCAAGCAAACAGTTCTCTAAAGCCTCTCCAACCTAGCATCCTAGCTGCTAGTTGCTACTAGGACTGAACAATGATACGTTTTTATATCAAAATCACTGTCGTGAGCACAAGTTTCAAATTGAGAGTTCACTGAGAGTTAGAAATTTAAACTAGCAATGCAGAGTTTGTGAACTGGCAGTCTGGCAAGTGTTCAATGTTTAAGACTCAAACCAACAAAACGGGCATGCTAGTCTTCTCGGCATCAATAAATAAAGGCCTGGAGGTTAATCCATAAAAAAACAATTGCATTTAAATTCCATCACAATGTTGGTTAAAAAAAATTGCCATTACTTTTTTTGCCAGATTTTTGAGCGCACATGATAATGGAGTCATGGACTGTGTAGCTCCCACATAATTATGGAGGTATTTCATAAACAATATCATCATTTGATGAACTTTAAGGAACTCCATGTTATATAAACCAACTGGAATTCTTTGTTGCATATTTGTACTGGATATTACAGCAAAACTGAAACTTCACCAGGAAAACAAAACCAAAACAACATTAAAAATAAAGACAAAAACTGTGCTAAGGGCCTCATTACAAGTCATATTAAAGAGACATGAAATTGGTGTGGTCAGCTTAGAAAGCATAACTTTTTCTTAAATTGATTATAAATCTTGTACATCTTGTTTATGTAGATAAATCTTGTATAATCTTAATAGGAAATCCAAACAGATTCATATGTGTCAGACAGCCCAGAAGGGTTAAAAATGAATTTCCCCTTTGAAAGGTCACTTTTACAATTGTACTGCTTTGCTCACGGGTGTTACGATTGACCTCTCACTAAAATAAATCTCTAGCCGGCATCTTGGCTGTGAAAATCTCATACCCAGTCCAGATAATGAACTCAGGCTGTTGGTCCACGTGCTTCATATGATTGAAGGCTGACTGAATAAGCTGGTACGGAGAGTCACACATGAAATCTCCAAAAAGTCCTGGGTCTGTCACAGGAACACCCTTTGAGGAGAAGCACACTTTGGTGGGATCTTTAGTGACATGATAGGTGGGGTCGAAGTGCAGGTCCGAGAGATGCCAGAATTTGCCTGTAAGCGGAAACAACATTCCAAAACATGTATGATGTTTTCATCTTTAACACAGCTGAACTGTGAACATCTGGTCATGTGACAGGACTTTCTACAGTTTGGCCTGCAGTCATAAGATATGAACTAAGACCTTATGAAAACTCAAATGAGTTGACATTAGGATGTAAACAAAGTCAGTTAAAGTGGTTTTTAAGTTTTAAGAAAAACTTAGAGTGAGGCTTGTTCACAATGGCGGTGAGAGGAACCAGACATCTGAAAAGTTTAACGTCTCTAAAAGCTGCCTCGCAGAAAATGAATACACAAGATAGTTATGAATACCTTATCTGATGCCCAGGATATTGTTTTATGATAACTTTGAGAAAAGGTTTGGCCTGAGACATTTTTCAAGCCATTTATGGTGGAAAGATGCATGCAGGGTGTTACAGTGCAAAACAGTGCACAAAGAAAACTTGTTTTTACAGATTTACCACTGTCTTACCATCATCAACATTACATAGAAAAACCCTGAATTCACCGGCGGTTTTGAAGAGTAAACAAAATGGTCATTTTTATGTTGTATACATCTGGTTCCTATCACCATCTCGGTATAGAAATTTGAGCCAGTAAGATCCGCTACATAAACCATTTTACACTAAACTACTTTGAAATTCTTTGTTTACATCTCAAAGACTGATCAATCAGTGGAAATCCACTTTAAGACAGACCCCCATTCAAAAAACTGAGTGAAAACAGGGCTGTCACTATTGATTATATAAGCAAGCGAGTAATTTTCTAATTATTTTGACAATTGAACGAGTAATTAAATTTTATACAAACGGACACAACTGAAATGAACTAAAATAGCTTTAATCGAGTATATATGCCAGCCCTCAACGTACTGAAAATATAATACCTTATTCTACTTATATTTTGGAAAGTACTGAAAACATATAACAACATATTCAATGTTTATATGGGCTGTAAGCTGAATTAAAGTGAAACCAAAACAACAAAAACAACAAATCTTAAACACGGCAGGCCCAGGCACACATTTTAAAACCACGGAACACAAAAGCAGCTGTTCAGGTTCATGTCTAAGCTCTGCGAATGAGTGCAGTGCATTAGTGCAGTGCTAATGGAGTCTGTGAGAATGTGAGGACAGCAGTGCACTTACTTCCTCCCTGCAGGTGTCTCTCTCTAATGGACTCTTTTATTGGTGCTGAACAAACTAGCTGGTAGAAAAGTGGTCCAGCCAGGCAGAGCAGCAGCAGCTCCATGTTTAACTCAGCTCAGCTCTGGGCTTTGGGTCTGTGAAGAGCGCAGTGAAAAGATTTCCACAGCAAAAACCCAAACGGGAAGCCTGTACTGGTCACGTGACGCTGTTGTTGCCCCATTCCCACAGTCATGTGAGCGGACTGGATCTTCCACTGTGTGGGTCAAAGTTGCTGACAGGTTTGATTCACAGATATGCATATAAAAATATGTAAACGCAGGCTTAGTTGTTCCGCGATGTCTCAGTTCTATCATTTATAAACCAGAACAGAGAAACCAGAACTTACGCTCAATTGAAAGTGAGCACTGAGACGAAGCTGAAGCCTCAGGCGCCAGAAACTGCTACACCGTTTAAGGTGGAACGGGAAATTTAGCCAACTTCAGACTCGAGTCTGGAGTAAAAGAATCATCGGCATTTAACATGAATAAAAGAAAAAGTAAACAGTCTAACAAATAATTTAAAGGTTTTCTTTTGTTGTGGTGCACGAGGCATCGACTAATGTGTTTTAACAAAACAGTACATTCAAATGCGCGTAAAATGTGTCCTTCACAAACGAGTCGGCTTCAAACGTTCAGAGCCGACTCAAAGAGTCGAATCAAAGAGTCGATTCGTTCGCGACGACACGTCACTTCTTCAGGTGCGTTTGAATGTAGATTTCTTTTTTTTTAACAATACACAGTAGATTCTACACAGATCAGCCATAACATTACGACCACCTCCTTGTTTCTACGCTCATTGTCCATTTTATCAGCCCCACTTACTATATAGGTGCACTTTGTAGTTCTACAGTTACAGACTGTAGTCCATCTGTTTCTCTGCATTTTTTGTTTGCCCCCTTTTACCCTGTTCTTCAGGGGTCAGGACCCCCATGGACCCTCACAGAGCAGGTACTATTTGGGTGGTGGATCATTCTTAGCACTGCAGTAACACTGATGTGGTGGTGGTGTGTTAGTGTGTGTTGCGCTGGTCTGAGTGGATCAGACACAGCAGTGCTGCTGGAGTTTTTAAACACTGTCCACTCACTGTCCACTCTATTAGACACTCCTACCTTTACAGTCCACCTTGTAGATGTAAAGTCAGAGACGATGGCTCATCTGCTGCTGCACAGTTTGTGTTGGTCATCCTCTAGTCCTTCATCAGTGGTCACAGGATGCTGCCCACAGGACACTGTTGGCTGGATATTTTTGGTTGGTGGACTATTCTCAGTCCAGCAGTGACACTGAGGTGTTTAAAAACTCCAGCTGTGTCTGATCCACTCAGACCAGCGCAACACACACTAACACACCACCACCACATCAGTGTTACTGCAGTGCTGAGAATGATCCACCACCCAAATAATACCTGCTCTGTGAGGGTCCATGGGGGTCCTGACCCCTGAAGAACAGGGTAAAAGGGGGCCAACAAAAAATGCAGAGAAACAGATGGACTACAGTCTGTAACTGTAGAACTACAAAGTGCACCTATATAGTAAGTGGAGCTGATAAAATGGACAATGAGTGTAGAAACAACTCCTAAGTGTAGCACTGCTGGGACCCAAACTCATGACTGGGCACTTAAGTAAGTGTGCTACTCTGAAAACCAAATGATTTTTCTTTCACACTATTCCCATAATTCTATATTAAAATAATAAAAAATATATAATGCACACTTATTCAGTGATAATAAAATAGATTAATTCAGTTGTCCAGATTACATTTTTGACTTTTTTATTGCTAGTGAATAGTGCATGTTAGTGAATTTGGTCTCATCAAGAAGTGGGGAGGGGACCTCCTATCCTGGGGGTGCTTCTTATCGCATGATACCCTCATTATCAGTTTGAAGATTATATATGAAATGAATTCATACTTATACCATAATCAGAACTCTTCTAACAGTCACCGTGCTCATAGCACTGGCTTGCAGCGTTGTACAATGTAGATGCAGATGCAGTCCTGGTTTGGACTCATGCAAAGTTTGAACTTTGTGAGACAAACACTTGCTGAAATACAGTTATTTAGATTAATACATAAAAATGGCAGGATATGTTATAGACTTGATTTTATGTATGTGTAAAGTTTATGTATAAACTCAGACAAAGCACTTGTGCTTTCACCTGATGGCTTTGTGTCAAGAAGGTTAGTTGCAGTTGGTGCCGACAGTGATTATAAATGTCAAGATGTTTTTGATATTTTTTGAAGAAGTTTCATGAGAATTTAGCCAAAATTTTAAGACTGGTGTGCAAAAGTAGTTTTCTTTATTAGCATTTTAACACCACCCAGAGGCTGAATCAGGCCAAACTAAGCATGCATTTTCAGAGTGTTATTGTGATCACACACTTCAAGTTTAGAATCAATCTGTGTCAAATGTGTATGAGTTTTAGTACGCTGGGTTGGATAAACCTTGCTTTTACTGTTTAGATGAGGTGATTGGATACAAATCTTCAGTTTAAAAAATGCAGTTTTCAAACATGTGAAAATTCATTGTAGTGTATAATAGAGATTCAGATTCATGTCCACAAGTGAAAAGGAGAAAAAGAAATACCTAATTTTAAGTTCGGATACATTTGTAGCAGCCAATTAGCAAAAGTCTTAATAGTTCTTGGGGCTTTGCAAAGAGTTGCACGCCCAAATGCAAAATATAGTAGCACCTCTTACAGGCTGACCAGGCTCATCTAGAGGGCCTGAGTATTGCAAGGGAATCCTACCAGTTGACCAAGTTTAATGTCTGTCCGACTTGTGGTTTGGTCTGACCAGTTCATTTTAGGACAGAATCAGAATAGAAATAAGAATCCTACCCTAACAGTTACAATAGGGTTCCAGCACTATGTGCTTGGACCCCTAATAATAATGGGCCTCATTTACCAACTGTTCTTCTTAAAACCAACTTATGCAGTTATCACAGAGATTCTGACATTCACTAATGTTTTCTTTGTTGGGATTTGTTCTTAGCTAAGAACAGAATCTACACACTCAACAGCACAAAGGTGTGAACAGTTCTGCGGTTTAAGAACACGTCATGAATCTGACATAGACTTTTTCATAGGACCTTTCTGAAGGACACATTTAAAAACAAACTTTGGACGATATTGGTGAATAAAGCGCAATAATACTATAGTTTTAAAGCAGGTGCATCAGTGTCAATTGTATTCCATTTAAAGACACCAGACCTTTTGGTTTATTTTTTATTGAGCTTAAGACAGCTTTGCAATGATCTATCAGGAAAGAAATAATAAAACATTTGCAGACCAAATTCAGATCATGCGTGATGACAATCAGATGCTTGAGGTGTAAAATCCTGCTCGTTTTAGATTTCAGTCAACCTCGCTGATCTTCTCGTAGGTGCGCACTGCCACAATGTCATCACATCTCATTGTCTGGAAAAACACAATGAAAAGTACATTATTATATGCGTTTCAATACAACCTCTACACTTACAAGTGAGTTCACAAGTCTAAAGTGAGCTAGCTCATTCTCACCATGATCATCTTGCCATCTTGGATCTCGCGGGTCAGGAAGCTCGTTTTATCGTCCCACTTCCGTGTGTTCACCAGTTTGCCTCCGTCAAGGTGAACAACAGACTAGAAAAAACAGGCTTCCAGTTAATCTTACGGGAGCCATATAGCACTCATTCCCCATTTAACCCATTAAACACTAGTCTTATTTTTCAGTTATTAACAGTAGAATGAGTGGGAGTGTGTTATCGCAAATAACATCACTGCTGTGATTTGGCACTCCAGATCATCACAACATCTGCGATAACACACACATTGTGATTGTTCTACTTCTTTTATACAACAGTTTTGCAAAAGAATAAACAAAGATAATGGAAAAGTGGCTCAACATAGATTCAAACATATCCTTCCACCCAGAAAAGTAGCTCCATCAGTTTCCAAGAGTACCGACTAGTGTTGTTATTTAGCGACCAGCTTTGAGTAGAATGATAAAATATGGTACAAAACAATCTCAGATGTAACCACAGATGTAAAGAACCAGGAATACAGTACTGTGCAAAAGTCTTCAGTAACTACTAGAAATTCAGTGACTACTATGAACATCTAATTAGGATTTGAGTCAACTATTTTGGTATTGACGTCTCTGATAAATGCTATGGAAGTGAATTCTAGGTTCTTACTCTGTATTGTTTGCCGGCCACATTCTCGTCAAATTCCTTGCCCAGTATGAATGAGTTTTCAGAGCTGATGATGCTGGTCTTTAGTTTTGTCACAACCTTCTCCCCGTCTTGGTAAATGGAGATCACTGGTGTAACTATATTCCCGACTTGTACTTGTTCTTCTCCAAAACCTGTGAAAAAAACAGTAAATGAGTTCATTCTGTAAATTAAATAATAACAAAAAGAAAAATACAATAAAAATATGTCTTAACTGAAGAAGAATAAGGATAGCCACTACAGACAAAATAAATATCTTACCGACTGCTCTCATGTATTCTTCAAAGTTTTCACTGCTGACCAGTTTCCAGTTTCCAAAGAACGCCTCCATTTTACAGATATAGTTTTGAGTCTGTTTCTGTCCTGTTTGACACAAAAGTTTTACAGCTGCTCTTTCAGGTGGAGCCCTCCTGTGTAATTTGTACAGATGACCCAGATTATTTATACATAAGCTTGTGGGCGGAGACGATATCATAACTGGGTGTCAGGCTATTCTCACAGACCTGACTGGTTGGTAGAAACTGTATGGTTTAGATTAATGGCTATGAAATTGAAACACACATGAAGATGCTGATCAATATTTATATAAGGGGGCAATTAGACAACCACTTACTGAAATAGTTATTTAACTTGGCCCCCTAGAGACCAGCATTCACCAAAATGGCAGGATATGTTATATATTTGTGTGTATAAGGTGTGTGTATAAAATCAGACAAAGCACTCGTGCTTTTACCTGTTTGGCTTTGTGTCGGGGGGGTTAGTTGCAGGTGGCGGCGACAGTGATTATAAATGCCAACAGGTTGTTGATTTTTTGAAGAAGTTTCATAAGAATTTAGCTAAAATTATGTGAATTTCTTTATTAGCTTTTTAACACCACGCAGAGGCTGAATCAAACCAAACTTGGCATACATTTTCAGAGTGTTATTGTGAACACACATTTCAAGTTTGGAGTCAGACGACGTGTGTATGAGTTTTAGTCGGCTGGGTTGGATAAACCTTGCTTTTACTGTTTACTTGGGATGATCGGATACAAATCCTCAGATGAGTTTAAAAAGTGCTGTTTTTAAACAATTAACCCTTGAGGAAATCTTCTGCAGTGTATAATAGAGATTCATGTTCATGACCACAAGTGAAATGGAGACAAAGAAATACCTAATTTTAAGGTTGGATACATTTGTAGCAGCCAATTAGCAAAAGTCGGAATGGTTCTTAGAGCTTTGCAAAGAGTTGCACGCCCAAATGAATGCTGCATAGTAGTGTTTCTTTCAGGCTGATCAGGCTCATCTAGAGGGCCTGAGTATTGCAAGGGAATCCTACCAGTTGACCAAGTTTAATGTCTGTACGACTTGTGGTTCAGTCTGACCGGTTCATTTTAGGACAGGATCAGAATAAGAAGAAGAATCCTACCCTAACCATTACAATAGGGTTCCAGCCCCAAGTGCTTGGACCCCTAATAATAATGGGCCTCATTTACCAACTGTTCTTCTTAAAAACAACTTATGCAGTTATCACAGAGATTCTGACATTCCCTAATGTTTTCTTAGTTCTTAGCTAAGAACAGAATCTACACACTCAAGAGCACAAAGGTGTGAACAGTTCTGCGGTTTAAGAACACGTCATGAGTCAAACGTAGAATTTTTCTTTTACAGCTGCTCTTTCAGGTGGAGCCCTCCTGTGTAATTTGTGCAGGTGAACCAGATTATTTATACATAAGCTTGTGGGCGGAGACAATATCATAACTTGGTGTCAGGCTATTCTCACAGAAACTGACTGGTTGGTAGAAATTGTATGGTTTAGATAAATGGCTATGAAATTGAAATGCACGTCAGGATACTGATCAATATTTATATAAGGGGACAATTAGTGCCATATGCTGCATGTGCGATAAGGTGTGCAGAAGTGCAATATGTACAGGAAGGTGTCCATATGTGCAAATATATAGTGAACAGGGCATCGATTCAGACACAGCCCAACCTAATGAGCCATATAGTCAGAAAGGCATAGATTCAGACACAGCCCAAAATAGTGCACTATATAGTGAATAGGGCATAGATTTCAGACACAGCCCAACCTAATGAGTCATATAGTTAGAAAGGCATTGATTCAGACACAGCCCAACATAATGCACCGTATAGTCAAAAGGGCATAGATTCAGATACAGTCCAACACAGTGAACCATATAGCATAGGGCATAGTTTCAGACAAACCCCAAAACACGGCACTATATAATAAATAGGCCTTGGGCTCTGTCTAAAACTCTGCCCTATTCACTATATAGTGTGCTATTTGGGGTGTGTTTGAAGCTGTGCCTTATTTACTACATAGTGCACTTTTTGGGCTGTGAAACTGCCCTATTCACTGTAACTGTAACATTGATCACAGAGTTCATTTTTGTTAAGAAGGTTAATACATTATGAAAGTTATCACTCATATCACTACCGTTAGCTGACTAGCATGTTGCATTCCTCATACACCTGATTGGTTTGTAAGGATTGTATAGTTAAGGTAAGGGGCACATCCCATACTGATTTGTTTTCTTGACATACATTTCCATGATTCCCGTAGGCAGAGTGCCTCATTCTCTCTCACTCCTAAGTGCAGTAGCACTGTTGGGACCTGAGCCCATGATTAGGCACTAAGGTAAGTGTGCTTCTCTGAAAACCAAATTAATTTTTTTCTCCACAACATTCCCATAATTCTATATAAAAAAAAGATTACATTTTAGACTTTGTTATAGCTAGTCATTTAGTGAATTTGGCCTCATCACTTAATCAAGTGGGGAGGGTACCCCTTATCCTGGGGGGCTGCCATAATCAGAACTCCTTATCAATCACTCATAACACTGGCTTTCCCTGCAGTGTTGTACAATGTAGATGCAGTCTTGGTTTGGACTCCGACACAGGAGCATCATGCAAAGTTTGAACTTTGTGAGACAAACACTTGCTGAAATACAGTTATTTAGCTTGGCCCCCTAGAGACCAACATTCACCAAAAATTGGAGGATATGTTACAGATTTGTGTGTATAAAATCAGACAAAGCACTCGTGCTTTTACCTGTTTGGCTTTGTGTCGGGGGGGTTAGTTGCAGGTGGCGGCGACAGTGATTATAAATGCCAACAGGTTGTTGATTTTTTTGAAGAAGTTTCATAAGAATTTAGCTAAAATTATGTGAATTTCTTTATTAGCTTTTTAACACCACGCAGAGGCTGAATCAAACCAAACTTGGCATACATTTTCAGAGTGTTATTGTGAACACACATTTCAAGTTTGGAGTCAGACAACGTGTGTATGAGTTTTAGTCGGCTGGGTTGGATAAACCTTGCTTTTACTGTTTACTTGGGATGATCGGATACAAATCCTCAGATGAGTTTAAAAAGTGCTGTTTTTAAACAATTAACCCTTGAGGAAATCTTCTGCAGTGTATAATAGAGATTCATGTTCATGACCGCAAGTGAAATGGAGACAAAGAAATACCTAAGTTTAAGGTTGGATACATTTGTAGCAGCCAATTAGCAAAAGTCGGAATGGTTCTTAGAGCTTTGCAAAGAGTTGCACGCCCAAATGAATGCTGCATAGTAGCGTTTCTTTCAGGCTGATCAGGCTCATCTAGAGGGCCTGAGTATTGCAAGGGAATCCTACCAGTTGACCAAGTTTAATGTCTGTACGACTTGTGGTTCAGTCTGACCGGTTCATTTTAGGACAGGATCAGAATAAGAAGAAGAATCCTACCCTAACCATTACAATAGGGTTCCAGCCCCAAGTGCTTGGACCCCTAATAATAATGGGCCTCATTTACCAACTGTTCTTCTTAAAAACATCTTATGCAGTTATCACAGAGATTCTGACATTCCCTAATGTTTTCTTAGTTCTTAGCTAAGAACAGAATCTACACACTCAAGAGCACAAAGGTGTGAACAGTTCTGCGGTTTAAGAACACGTCATGAGTCAAACGTAGAATTTTTCTTTTACAGCTGCTCTTTCAGGTGGAGCCCTCCTGTGTAATTTGTGCAGGTGAACCAGATTATTTATACATAAGCTTGTGGGCGGAGACAATATCATAACTTGGTGTCAGGCTATTCTCACAGAACTGACTGGTTGGTAGAAATTGTATGGTTTAGATAAATGGCTATGAAATTGAAATGCACGTCAGGATACTGATCAATATTTATATAAGGGGACAATTAGTGCCATATGCTGCATGTGCGATAAGGTGTGCAGAAGTGCAATATGTACAGGAAGGTGTCCATATGTGCAAATATATAGTGAACAGGGCATCGATTCAGACACAGCCCAACCTAATGAGCCATATAGTCAGAAAGGCATAGATTTAGACACAGCCCAAAATAGTGCACTATATAGTGAATAGGGCATAGATTTAGACACAGCCCAAAATAGTGCACTATCTAGTGAACATGGCATAGATTCAGACACAGCCCAACATAATGCACCGTATAGTCAAAAGGGCATAGATTCAGATACAGTCCAACACAGTGAACCATATAGCATAGGGCATAGTTTCAGACAAACCCCAAAACACGGCACTATATAATAAATAGGCCTTGGGCTCTGTCTAAAACTCTGCCCTATTCACTATATAGTGTGCTATTTGGGGTGTGTTTGAAGCTGTGCCTTATTTACTACATAGTGCACTTTTTGGGCTGTGAAACTGCCCTATTCACTGTAACTGTAACATTGATCACAGAGTTCATTTTTGTTAAGAAGGTTAATACATCATGAAAGTTATCACTCATATCACTACCGTTAGCTGACTAGCATGTTGCATTCCTCATACACCTGATTGGTTTGTAAGGATTGTATAGTTAAGGTAAGGGGCACATCCCATACCGATTTGTTTTCTTGACATACATTTCCATGATTCCCGTAGGCAGAGTGCCTCATTCTCTCTCACTCCTAAGTGCAGTAGCACTGTTGGGACCTGAGCCCATGATTAGGCACTAAGGTAAGTGTGCTTCTCTGAAAACCAAATTAATTTTTTTTCCTCCACAACATTCCCATAATTCTATATAAAAAAAGATTACATTTTAGACTTTGTTATAGCTAGTCATTTAGTGAATTTGGCCTCATCACTTAATCAAGTGGGGAGGGTACCCCTTATCCTGGGGGGCTGCCATAATCAGAACTCCTTATCAATCACTCATAACACTGGCTTTCCCTGCAGTGTTGTACAATGTAGATGCAGTCTTGGTTTGGACTCCGACACAGGAGCATCATGCAAAGTTTGAACTTTGTGAGACAAACACTTGCTGAAATACAGTTATTTAGCTTGGCCCCCTAGAGACCAACATTCACCAAAAATTGGAGGATATGTTACAGATTTGTGTGTATAAAATCAGACAAAGCACTCGTGCTTTTACCTGTTTGGCTTTGTGTCGGGGGGGTTAGTTGCAGGTGGCGGCGACAGTGATTATAAATGCCAACAGGTTGTTGATTTTTTTGAAGAAGTTTCATAAGAATTTAGCTAAAATTATGTGAATTTCTTTATTAGCTTTTTAACACCACGCAGAGGCTGAATCAAACCAAACTTGGCATACATTTTCAGAGTGTTATTGTGAACACACATTTCAAGTTTGGAGTCAGACAACGTGTGTATGAGTTTTAGTCGGCTGGGTTGGATAAACCTTGCTTTTACTGTTTACTTGGGATGATCGGATACAAATCCTCAGATGAGTTTAAAAAGTGCTGTTTTTAAACAATTAACCCTTGAGGAAATCTTCTGCAGTGTATAATAGAGATTCATGTTCATGACCACAAGTGAAAAGGAGAAAAAGAAATACCTAATTTTAAGGTTGGATACATTTGTAGCAGCCAATTAGCAAAAGTCGGAATGGTTCTTGGGGCTTTGCAAAGAGTTGCACGCCCAAATGCAAAATGCTGCATAGTAGCGTTTCTTTCAGGCTGATCAGGCTCATCTAGAGGGCCTGAGTATTGCAAGGGAATCCTACCAGTTGACCAAGTTTAATGTCTGTACGACTTGTGGTTCAGTCTGACCGGTTCATTTTAGGACAGGATCAGAATAAGAAGAAGAATCCTACCCTAACCATTACAATAGGGTTCCAGCCCCAAGTGCTTGGACCCCTAATAATAATGGGCCTCATTTACCAACTGTTCTTCTTAAAAACAACTTATGCAGTTATCACAGAGATTCTGACATTCCCTAATGTTTTCTTAGTTCTTAGCTAAGAACAGAATCTACACACTCAAGAGCACAAAGGTGTGAACAGTTCTGCGGTTTAAGAACACGTCATGAGTCAAACGTAGAATTTTTCTTAGGACTTTCTGAAGGACACATTTAAGAACAAACTTTGGACGATATTGGTGAATAAAGCGCAATAATACTATAGTTTTAAAGCAGGTGCATCAGTGTCAATTGTATTCCATTTAAAGACACCAGACCTTTTGGTTTATTTTTTACTGAGCTTAAGACAGCTTTGCAAGGATCTATCAGGAAAGAAATAATAAAACATTTGCAGACCAAATTCAGATCATGCGTGATGACAATCAGATGCTTGAGGTGTAAAATCCTGCTCGTTTTAGATTTCAGTCAACCTCGCTGATCTTCTCGTAGGTGCGCACTGCCACAATGTCATCACATCTCATTGTCTGGAAAAACACAATGAAAAGTACATTATTATATGCGTTTCAATACAACCTCTACACTTACAAGTGAGTTCACAAGTCTAAAGTGAGCTAGCTCATTCTCACCGTGATCATCTTGCCATCTTGGATCTCGCGGGTCAGGAAGCCCGTTTTATCATCCCACTTCCGTGTTTGCACTATTTTGCCTCCATCCAGGTGAACAACAGACTAGAAAAAACAGGCTTCCAGTTAATCTTACGGGAGCCATATAGCACTCATTCCCCATTTAACCCGTTAAACACTAGTCTTATTTTTCAGTTATTAACAGTAGAATGAGTGGGAGTGTGTTATCGCAAATAACATCACTGCTGTGATTTGGCACTCCAGATCATCACAACATCTGCGATAACACACACATTGTGATTGTTCTACTTCTTTTATACAACAGTTTTGCAAAAGAATAAACAAAGATAATGGAAAAGTGACTCAACATAGATTCAAACATATCCTTCCACCCAGAAAAGTAGCTCCATCAGTTTCCAAGAGTACCGACTAGTGTTGTTATTTAGCGACCAGCTTTGAGTAGAATGATAAAATATGGTACAAAACAATCTCAGATGTAACCACAGATGTAAAGAACCAGGAATACAGTACTGTGCAAAAGTCTTCAGTAACTACTAGAAATTCAGTGACTACTATGAACATCTAATTAGGATTTGAGTCAACTATTCTGGTATTGACGTCTCTGATAAATGCTATGGAAGTGAATTCTAGGTTCTTACTCTGTATTGTTTGCCGAGGATATTCCCATCAAATTCCTTGCCCAGTACAAATGAGTTTTCAGAGCTGGTGACACTGCTCTTTAGTTTCATCACCAACTTCTCCCCGTCTTGGTAAATGGAGATCACTGGTGTAACTATATTCCCGACTTGTACTTGTTCTTCTCCAAAACCTGTGAAAAAAACAGTAAATGAGTTCATTCTGTAAATTAAATAATAATAACAAAAAGAAAAATACAATAAAAATATGTCTTAACTGAAGAAGAATAAGGATAGCCACTACAGACAAAATAAATATCTTACCGACTGCTCTCATGTATTCTTCAAAGTTTTCACTGCTGACCAGTTTCCAGTTTCCAAAGAACGCCTCCATTTTACAGATATAGTTTTGAGTCTGTTTCTGTCCTGTTTGACACAAAAGTTTTACAGCTGCTCTTTCAGGTGGAGCCCTCCTGTGTAATTTGTGCAGGTGAACCAGATTATTTATACATAAGCTTGTGGGCAGAGACGATATCATAACTGGGTGTCAGGCTATTCTCACAGACCTGACTGGTTGGTAGAAATTGTATGGTTTAGACAAATGGCTATGAAATTGAAATTGATGAATATTTTCATAAAGGGGGCAAGTAGCGCCCTCTGCTGGCTACATGAAGCACCGCAATACCTGATCACTAAGCTTGAAGCATAAAAACAACCATGAAAACTAAGTACAGGATTTATTTTACAGCATCATGGCATTTTGTACATAACTTACAAGGGACAATAAGGTGGATCCAGAGCAAGGTTAACAGAGAAACAACACGATTCCACACAGATTCTTCTTTAAGTGTACAGACCTATGTTAACACAGAGAGTGAAAAAGGAAAATAGATCAAAGTCTAAGCCGACAGCATCGTCCTTGAATTGTTTTCTTTCGCTTTGCTATTGACGTGACTGAGGAAAACCTGAACGCCTTGAATGCAGACAAGTCATAACACTGACTTAACAAACAAAACTGATGTTTACAGTCTCAGCAGTACAACATTAGACACAAGTCAACAGCAGCCGACAATGAAAAGTCAGTAGACATAATGCACTCCATATTTACACACAAAAGCTTCTTCTTCTCACAAATACCTCTCACAAAAATGTTAACAAAGCACATTTTTACAGTAAAAAACCCACAAAGTAGATGCTGTGGTGCTGACCACGAATGACTGACCACAAACCAAAGGTAAAAATTGTACTTACATCACCAAATGGAATGTTTTGACTTGTGCAAAAAATTAGACATTCTTACATCTACATATCAACATTCAGTGACGATTTCTGTAAATAAATCACGAGGTCCCTTTTCAAACTAGGGAAATAATGTCCTATCTGTTTCCACAAGACGTTCAGCCCACTATTAAGCACTGGCTGCTTTTGTCTTTTTGAGACACAGATATAGACCAATGTCACCCAGATAGGAAATCTGAACCATTTGCTGGCCCTTTGAAAGTAAGGGGGGGTTTCAAAGGGGCTCCACTGGGTGATGGGCATCCTCCTCCACTGGCCTGCTTCAAAGTGGCCTTGCATAGCTCAGAGCGTGGCCATAACAGTAGACTGGTCATTAGGATCAGAGAAGAGGTAGACCATGATATTGACACTGGTGTCCTGGCTCCTCTCTCGAGTTCAGTTCAGGGTAGTAACGGGTGAAGTTATGTTCCCTCTGCTTTGTCCTCACCCGGGTCCTTGGTCTGGTCACCTGAGGATGACCCCTCTCCTTCTTGACCACCATCGTCTGTAAAAAGTATAAGCACACAAACAGAAATGACACATCAAAGAAATCATTAAAAGTTTATGGGATTTCTTTATAAAGTCAGAAAGCATGGGCAACTTTTGGTACAACTGGTAAAACAGCATTTAAAGTGGTGATTTAGGCAAAAATCACTTTGTCCAATGGGAATCAGCAAATAGTAAGTCATTGTGAGTGGTGGTGTGGCCAATGGATACTGGAACAGGTCAAAAAAAAAAAAGCTTTGGATTAAAAAAAATATTTGTATCAGAATCGGCCAGAGTGCACACCTCTATCCTGAAGTTTGTTTCTTTAGAGTTGCAGTGGGGTTATAGGGCTAACATGCAGTGGAAGCTCAAAGCCACCTCTTAGTAGTGTTCAAACTGTATATTTAAATCATAATTACACACAACAACACAACAGTTGAACAAGTGATCTCAGACCTGCTTATGTTTTCTGACAATGTAATCAACAAAAATGCTCTAACGCTCTGAATTCAGTTCATGAAGACTTTGCTAATTGGCTAATGAACTGAATCAGGTGTGTTTAATGAGTCAGCGTGCTGAAGTCTGCAGTGTTTTGGCCCGCCAGGACTGGAGCCTGATACATGTGGTACAGACAAAATTCAGGCTTTAAGACGACTGCCACTGCTGTGTTTGCTATGTGACATACTTTTTTCCGTTTTTATAGATAACTGTATCTTATACAATGTCAGACACTACACATGCCCATGTATCTTTAACAACAGGATGTGGTTTGAGACAAATGTGCAGTAATTGTGCAGAATGTGGTTTAAACAAAGCTAGTGCAATAAGCTTTCAGTACTTGTTACAGCAGCTCCACTACAAAACTAAAGAAAACTTTAGACACCAAACATGTCTTGGCCGATCGATTCCGTTTGGTGCAGGGGAATAAATTGTGTAAATTTGATTTTTGTCCTGACCATTGCTTTAAAGAACAAGACAATATTTAACTGTAATAAGCATTCTTTTCTTCTAAAACATTCATAGGAATGTTTGACACAAACCTTTTAATGGCGAGTCTCCACCTGAGGGAAGAGACGTGGACATGAAAGCAAACCCCTGATGCTTTACTTCATATCATACCAGTAGAAATATGCTTTCTCTGATATGCAAAATGGGCTCTAAATACATTACTGTTCGCAGTGCTTCCTGTTTTGTTTTGATAGGAATCTTTTGGGAGGAAAGGGCTGCCAGGACAAATCGCTAATGGAACGCCACTTATGATGATCAAACATCTACCTGCTTTGATGCTCATGGCTGGAGCACTGCTGGCTGCCATATGCTGAACAAAATTCACTCATTATCAGAGTGTCTCCTGTTGTCTGAAATACAGAACCTGAGCGTGCTTCTGCTGGGTGGATGTGGGTATGGAAGAGTGAGTGTAATGGTATAAAAGACAAGCTTTTCAGTTGAAAAGCTCTGTAACAAGGATTCAAAAGAGAGCATCTGGTTGGAGGCTCATTAATGAACTGACCGCATAACAGCGAGAGCCCAAGAGCCTCATCGCATTACATCACATGGGGCCAGATTCAGAAAATGCACTGGCGGATTTCAAGTGATTTTAAGAGCAAATATATTTTCTCATGTCTATTTTATCATTTACATGATACATGGCTCTTACTCCTTTCCTATATTTGAATGTGGCATTAGCTCAGAGAGGTGGGTACAGAAGACTCCTAAAATTAAAAGCATAGAGTAGATATACAAAAGTAGCAGCTCAAAAACTACTTCAGTACTGAGTAGTACTACTGCAGTACTGTTAAAATCTGAAATCTGAAATAATACAACAATACAAAATAGAAAGATAAAATACATCAATGCTGAATCAACAACTTATTATTAAAAATAACCACAGCAAACAATTCTTCCACCAAACAGTAATGCAGTATTAAATTAACGAGTGCAGCCATCTGTGCGCATTTTGTTTTACAGCGGCTTCAAACATCACTCAATCAGATAAAAAAGAGAGATCAAATTTTGATGCTCTGTCAGGATTTAAAGGAGGAACTGATGTCCAACACTCACAACAACCATAGAGGTTTTGTCAAGTGCTGGGATTCCCTATGATACCAGGATGCTTTTTCTTTCATTTTGTTTTGTTTTTCCATGGCTTCTGAGTGTGGATAGTATGATTATTATATAATAATCATTATTACTGTTTGAAAAAGTATATATTAACCACATAATAATGGCTAACTAATTGATTCAAAATAGTTTTTCATTTATTCATATAACGGTGATTAACAAACTATTAGGGGTGTAACGATACACTCTGCTCATGATTCGATTCACAATACTGAGATCACAATTTCATTTTCTTATGATATTTTAAACAAAATTTCGACGACATTCCTTTTTTTATTTCTGAAGTGTAAACAATTGTGAATGCATCAAATCATATTTGTTTTGTTAGCCATTATATAGGCCATGGTTTTCTTGCAATATTTGCAAACTGTTTTGGTTCTGTCAGTTACCCTGTCACCGATTTTGTTTCAAGAAATGGAGAAACCAAAATGTTGCCACACCTCGGATTTAAAACACAATGGAGCATCCTCAATCTCAAATTCACCTTCACCAGTTTCCACTGCAGAATGGAAGAAGCAGCAAAGCTATTAATAAGGCTAAAGACTGTGGCGTATGGGAGCAGGACGCATGATGTGCTGGTGTGGGTAAAACTGCAACTGCAAAACTACAAAAAAGTGCATTAGATGGCAAAATAAACAGAACGCATTTAATATCGTCCATCTATATTATTATACATATAAGTGTTACCAAAGTTCTTGTTACATATGACACAGTGTTAATATGGTCTGCAATTATTTGCAAAACATTTTTCCATGGTTTAAAGGCTGTTGCACTTTCTACTTGTTTTCTTAGAACTCGTGGTCTTTTTGTTTTCTTTGGCATAGCATGTCCATTTTTACTCCCACACAGGTCTTTGCTGAGTGCTGGTATTTGATATGTATTACTTCATCAACATGTTGATTCTTTTGGGCTTTCCTTAGGACACATAAAAATACCACAGCTATAGGCAGAGATTGGTGGCACTACCACAGTGACTAAGTGCCGAAGTGTGGTTACTGCTGAGTTATATGAATCTGGCCTTTATTATTTCATACATGTGCATGCTTTAAGCTTAATGTAAACATACTTCCATCACACTTACCTGTCATCAGCCATTTGTTATACTGCTGCAGACTTTCCTCTCCAACTACCATCAAAACTAGACTGAATGATAGCCACCTCTGGCTGTGCTGTCTGGCAGCCTGAATTACAAACAGCCTCTTGATAACAGTCATGGACAATAGCCAAACCACAAAGAAAACCACTTAAGCATCTGAGCAAAGTGTGTCCGTAATGACAAAGCACCATGTCTCTTCATAGCAAAGTACCTCTCAAAAAAATCTGTCTCCGTCACAGAAGAACAATGCTGCGGACCGCTGGAACAGAAATGTGGAGAGCTTCATGCATATTTATACAACTCAAAGTCAGTGATGGGGGTCAGATTACTTTTATGTGATAACAAGCAACACAACATGCTATTTTGTCAATTCATGTAATTGTCTACTTAGTTACTCTTTCAAATAAACAAGCCTTGATGTGACAAAAAAAGGTTTTGTGAAAATTAAAACATTAGAAGTAAAAGATCCATTCATGTTAGCTAGGCAACAGTTACATAACTGGTATAAAGTTCTGCACAGTAGATAGTTCAGCCAACAGCAAATTGTCAGAGACAGTATCTCTTACAGCATGGAAATATTCACAATTCTTTTAAATTATTTAAATAAGTGAGACAAGTGTCTGTGAACTGCTAAGAAGGTCTAATTTGAAAACACCTCTATAACACAGCCCCATAACACTGAAGCCTGCCAAGCAGGAAAACAATGCTACTTCTCCAGCACTCAAGGCTTTGCTAAGGGGCTTTCTTATCTGGTCACACAAAAGGGTACCTTTTAATCTAACATTCCTCATAACTGATCAAAACTCAAACTTTAACACTATATGAACAAAAAGTATTGGGACACCTACTTGTTACACCTACAGGAGTTTTTATGACACCCCATTCTAAATAGGCCATAGGCATTAATATGGAGTTGGTCCCCTTTGCAGCTATAATGATTCGTTACTCCACAGAATATGTTTCCACTGCTCCAGAGTCCAGGGATGGTGTGCTTTACACCCTAGCAGGACAGAAATTTCACAAACTGACTCGTGGCAGAGGTGGCATTCTACAACAGTGCCATGTTTAAAGTCAGTGAGCTCATCAGTATGACCCATTCTAGAGCCAGTGTTTGTCTATCAAGATTGCAAGGCTATGTGCTTAATTTTATCCACCTGTTAGCAATGGGTCAATCCCCACAGGTCAACCACAGAGCACCTGGGACCACTGATTAAGGACTAGAGAATGACTAGCACAAACTGTGCAATAACAGGTGAGCTATTGTCTCTGACTTTATAACAACAATAACACCTGCTCTGTGTTGGTCCTGTGGGGGTCCTGACTGTTGAAGAACATGGTTAACAACATATAAAAGGCTGATGTCAGAGATGTAACTCTTGTGCAAAGTTTTCCCAACATCTGAGCCTGTGATCATGTGACAGTTGTGTACACAAGCAAAGTCACTTTTAAATGATTAAATGTTTATGCAATCTCTGCTACTTGAAAAATATGTATATTATGTATTTGAGGACATGTTTTCAGTCAGTTGCTTCCTCTTTCAGACTCTGAGCTATTTTGTGGTTTCTGGCAAAATGCACAGCTCTCTAATACAGCCATCCTCCGTCTTCAATAAACCTGTAAAACATGAGTTAATCAATAGCTTAAAGCCAGACCTCAGGGCTCTTTATTATTATAAGTAAGTGCCGTCAAGTTGACTCCTGGCAACCATATGGATAGTGTTTCTCCAGAAAATCCTGTCTTCTCTTCTCTTTGCGTCTTCAGGCTTCTGAATGGCTGGCTTTTACCTTCACCTCTTTTAAACATAATGGTCTTTTCCAAAGAACTGGTTCTTCTCAGAGTATGTCCAAAGTACGATAGTAAGATTTGGTCTAGGATCTATTCTTTTGTTTTCTTTGCCATCCAAGGTCCTCTTAAAAGTCTTTGCCAACACCAAAGTTCAAAGGCATCTATATTTTTCCCTTCTTGCTTGTTTATTGTCCAGCTTTCACATCCATAAAGAACCACAGAGAAAATCACAGCCTGGACAATTCTGACCTTTGTTTGTAGAGACAAATCTTTGCACTTAAAGATCCTTTCAAGCTCCTTCATTCTTGTTGTACTGGATGCCAGTTTGTGTCATATGTCTTGCATGCTGGATCCTTTGTTGTGAATAACTGATCCAAGTAGGAAAAGGCTGTCACACCCTGACGATGGCTTTAATTGACAACTACTTACACTTATAAATGCCTATAAAAGACTTCGACACAGTAAACAATTACAAACATTTTACAAACTGAATAAACTGAAATGAAGCAGAAGGTAGCACACCTCCAACAGAAAGCTCAGCGAGTTTGTTTGGCAGGTCTGCTGCTCCGGGGCCTGCGGTGGATCCTAAGATATCCGGCATGGCGTTCCGCCGGCCAGTCCGACCCGTGGCGGCAAAGTCAGTGACGACAGGCTCCACATCAGTCATCTCTGGACCTTCTCCTCATAGCATCATCTGCAAAATATCAAACGGCTTTTTAGTCATTTTTTTTATTCGTTCATTCAATCAGTTATACATGTAGTCAATTTTGCTTGGAGCTGTGCAGAATATATTTTTTTAACAGACAGTACAACAGAAAGACACCAGGCTTTTTCATTCATAATACAGGTTTGCCAGCATCCTTAGCTCATCTTCATTCTCTTTTTAACTCATTGTCTGAAAGATGTAACTCACTGTCTGAGTTGGGTGCCATGGCAACACTATAAATAGCTTCACGATCTGGGTCTTAGTGTAAATATTTTATGTAAATGACTCAGTCAACCCATACAGATTGCACTGAATATGTAAACACGCATTTGTACAAACCCTACTTAAACAAAGACACAGTATAAATATTCATGAGTTTGAAGCAGAAAGAAAGAGAAGTAGTTTAGTCTTGGACACAAATTAGTCTTGGATGAAACTATAATGTCCATGGTGAATCACCATTAAAAATGCTTCCTCAGTCTAGGCTCAGTAATTTTGGTTTGGGAAATCAACTCAATGTCATCCATGACTTATTCATGTTGTGTTTTTGTTAGAAATTCTGCTTTGAGTAAGGCTAGATCAGACATGTCAAACTGGGGATATTTCGGGCCACAGTGCTGCAGAAGATTAGTGTTTACCCTCTTCTAATGCTCTCAATTCAGTTCATGAAGGCCTTCCAAATCAGCTGATGAGCTGTAGCAGGTGTGTTTAATGACACAGCGTGCTGAAGCCTGCCCTGTTCTGGCCCGCTAGGACTGGCTCCTGAGTTTATAGAGCACTGACATTAATGACATTACATTAACATGCTTACCACATATATTTTAGAAAAACAATCAGCAGTCTAGATTTGGAGCAAGTATGCTCATTGGCTCTCTGACACCAATGAGACTACTGAAATTTAATACTGACACAAAGCGCCTTTCAGTAGGTTTAAGTAATTAATTCAGCACTACATAAGTTTTGAATTTTGATACCTGCGCTTTTGAAACTAATTCTCTTCTCTTGACAGATGTCAACTAGAACAATGGCTAGAACACCAGAACGCATTCTGTCTCTGTGCTGTGATATGGAAAGGTGTTGTCATTTCAAGCTACAGTACTGCGCAGAAGTCAGAGATTACCCTTCACTTATTTAATCTCCAGTCAAAACAGCCCTTAAGTACACATTATTCATTTTTTCAGGAGATATTTCTGAGAAGATTTGATAGAATATAATCCATTTGTATATAAAAGGAGAAAACCACACGGTAAAAACAGGAGTTTCCAAAACTGGAGTTCAAAAAATGACTAAAAGCTACAGAGAAAATGGGACTCCTAACAACCACACAAGAGCTTGTGGGCCACCTAAACAGTACTTAAAGGATGAGTAGCTGTGAAGAAGACCTTACTAAGAAAAGGAAGTAGACAAGGAAAAAAAGGACAATATCTGCAAAACAAAGAAGCTGCTGGTGTTATCAGAAGAGAGTCCAGACATTAACATTACTAGATGTGTTTGGGATTATTTGGATCTTGAGAAGCAGAAAATCCAAACAACCTCTAAGACTGAACTTTGAAGGTGTGAAAAAATATTCAAGATTCCAAAGATTTCTGAAAAACTGAAAGCAAGTCCTGCATGTGCTCATGTGTCAGTTTCTCTCCTGTTTTTTGGCCGTCTCACTCCTTCACAGTGTATCACTCACCGCTATTGAAAGAGAGACAGTTCTTCTATTGTTATGATATCGGATATAGGAAAACCTGTTTAGGTGCTTCATAGAACCATCTACAGCACATTCTCCATCAAAGTGAAGAACACTTTCATGGTGCAAAGAGCCCTTTAGTCATGCAAAGGTTTCTTTGAGTGTTCATGGTTCTATACAGAACCACTTTTTTAGTAAAGAACCCTTGAAGAACTATCTTTAAGTGTCTATGCTTCTTAGTTTTTTTCCTGGTGCTGAAAAAATTAATAACTTGTACTTAGTGACCATTTTGAATGGAAATTAAATAAATAAAGGGGTCTCTAACTTCTGAAAAGTACTGTAAATGTGTATGTACACCGATCAGGCATAACATTATGACTATATATTTTGTCATCCTTATCTTAACATTGCTGTCAAAACCTCGTAACTCTTTTTGAATATGCCTGCTGCCCTTTACGTTATGTGAACATTTTACAAGTGGACCAACAGAAGTCTCATCTCAGTGTCACTGCTGGACTGAGAATAGTCCACCAACCAAAAATATCCAGCCAACAGCGTCCTGTGACCACTGATGAAGGACTAGACCAACACAAACTGTGCAGCAGCAGATGAGCTATCGTCTCTGACTTTACATCTAAAAGGTGGACTGACAAGGTAGGAGTGTGAGTGACAGTGAGTGGACACAGTGTTTAAAAACTCCAGCAGCACTGCTGTGTCTGATCCACTCATACCAGCACAACACACACTAACACACCACCACCACGTCAGTCTTACTGCAGTGCTGAGAATGATCCACCACCCAAATAGCACCTGCTTTGTGAGGGTCCATGGGGGTCCTGACCATTGAAGAACAGGGTAAAAGGCAGAGAAACAGATGGACTACAGTCTGTAATTGTAGAACTACAAAGTGCTCCTATATAGTAAGTGGAGCTGATAAAATGGACAATGAGCGCAGAAACAAGGAGGTGGTCATAATGTTATGCCTGATCGGTGTATATGGCCCACATGACTTGGATACTGTTCTAAATAAATAGTATAAAACGCAAATATTTATCACTGTTGTAACAAAATCATATCTCAAAAACATTAACTTTACAAGAGAAGGACAAAAAGTTGTTGACTGTACTGTATTTAATTTAAGCAATTTTGGACAACTTCTGTTGGTCCACTTGCAAAATGTTCACATAACGTAAAGGGCAGCAGGCATATTCAAAAAGAGTTACAAGGTTTTGACAGCAATGTTAAGATAAGGATGACAAAATATATAGTGACAACTATCTATTTTCAGCATAAATGTGTAATTAGATACTGATATGCAAATCAACTACTTACAGTTCTCACACCATCTCAGCCATCACATTCAAAACTATGAAAAAGACTCATGTAAATAATGGTGCAAGACCCAGATGGATGCAAATTTCAACTTTGCCCTGCAGTAGGCCTGAGAAACAACTTATTTAACCTGATATTACATTCACATAAAAATAGACACAGATTTGGAAGTATTACTTTCTAACATTTTAGGAAACCATACTGTACCAGTCAAAAGTACTCAAGGCTACACTTGCTAGAAACTATTTTTTCCCCATAACTGACAATGTATCACATCAATAGTCTGTGGATAGTACGGAGTATCAAAACAAAAGAAGAGAATCAAAAGAATGGACAACTGTCTCTTGGATTTAACTCTACCTTAGTAACAGCTTCACAGATACAAGGCACTCAGTTAAGAGCAGGAATTCACTTTCTTTTCCAGCTCTGCTTCATGAAATGTTCAGACATGCAGGGCTCTTGGGTCATGCTAATATGACTCTTACACCCAGTTTGCAGAAAAATATCTAGATCTGCAAGCCTGAGGTCTTGAGACTGGACAGGCCAGGTCATTGATATCCTTCTTTGGAGTGAAGAAATGAAGGACTGTCCATCTAGTCATTATCCTGGTGGATGGCAACCCTCTCAAGCATGCTATGACAGCCATGGTTGAGACTGCCATGGACTTGGCCTCAGCAAAGCTCCCCCAGATCATTACATGGTCTTCCATATGCTTCACAGAGGGAACGATACAGTGCCCTCCACAAATATTGGCATCCCTGGTAAACACAAGCAAGATGGCCTATAAAAACATTCTTTATTACTCATAGATCTGATCTTTCATTCAAAATATTAACACAATACTGGTTTGAAGTGCAATGATTGAGAGAAAAAGTCTCATTACGAAATAGTTTTCTCAAATTTGTGCGTGCCACCAATGTTGGTACCCCTTTCTTTGATAGTTTGTGCAGCTTCCCTCTGCAAAGACACCAGCTCTGAGTGTACTTCTGCAATGCTTAATGCGACTACAGAACACATGGCAAAGGATCTAAGACTATCCCTCCATTCAGAACCTCTCCAGATCCTTCAGATTCCGAGGATCACACTGTAGACTCTCCTCTTCAGCTCATCCTACAGGTCTTCTATGGGGTTTAGGCCAGGGGGACTGGGATGACCTTGGCAAAAACTTTAATTCTGTGGCGAATGTACTTTTTTGTCTTGTGATGTACTTTGGATCATTGTACTGCTGGAACATCCAATGACATACCAGTTTAAGCTTCCTGGCAGAGACAGTCAAATTCTGACTTAATATCTGAGTCTGTGATACCATGTATCCGAACAAGTTATCCAGGGCCTTCGGAAGAAAAGAAGCCCCACAACATCACAGATCCACCACCACACTTCACAGAGGGGATGATGTACTTTTCTGCATGACTGTGTTTGTGTCCACACCCAATTCACCTAGTGTTTGTTGCCAAAAAGCTCTATTTTGGTCTCATTTGACCACAGAACACAGTTTCACTGAAAGTTCCAGTAATGTCTAGCAAGCTTGTAGGCGCTTGAGTTTGTTGGTTCTTGACAGCAGAGGCTTTCATCTGGCAATCCTCCCAAACAACTTGTGGTTATGAATGGCGTCTAACTGTAGTTTGGGAGACGTTCAACCCCAAAATCTAACCAATGTCTGCAGTTCCCCAGCTGTGATCCTTAGATTCTTTGACCACTCTAACCATCCTTCTCACAGTGTGTGAGGTCAGTACAGACATACGTTGTCTTCCTGGCAGATGAACATATTCAGTTGCTTCAAATTTCTTAATTGATAGTGGAAAAGGGCATTTTCAACTGTTCAGCTATTTGCTTGTGGCCACTTCCTGATTCGTCCATTCACAAAACATCAATGGAAAAATCCTTCTTTTCTATTTTCTAAGGTTTTTAAGGACACAGACAGTTTGCCAAAATTTCCCCAGTTGATTTCTTATAAGCAAATTAAACATGATGACCTGAA